ATCAGACTCTTCGGATTCTTCTTTCTTTGCTTCCACTTTCTTCTCCTCAGCTAGAAAAAAAGTAAATCACGTTTCAGGACTTCCATACATCATGTACTTGTGGAAAATTAATGCCAATTCCGCCTATAATACTATATATTTTTTTAATTTTCATTTTATCTTACATGACTACTGTAGTAATACATATTTTTATCTCTACACTCTGACCTCAATACTGAAAACTTGGATTCCTACCTGGAGCAGCAGCAGTGGAGGGGGCAGGACCTCCTGCTGGTGCAGCACCAGCTGCTGGAGCAGGCCCACCAGCCCCTACATTGCAGATGAGGCTCCCAATGTTGACGTTAGCCAGGGCCTGCAATACATGTGCACGCAGAGGTAAATGCCCAGTTCTGTCCTTGTTACAAGTGCTCACACAGCCAAAAAAGAAAAGTTTCCCCGCTTCCAGGTTACAGCGACCAACCCCTAACACTATATATATACGGTGGGTTCCACATCCACGGACTCAACAGTGGATAGAAAATACTTAGGGAGGAAAAAAACCATGTGTACAAAACATGCAGACCTCTAAAGTATACAGGAGGATGTGCATAGGTTATATGCAGATACATTTACATAAGAGATGGAACATCCTGGAATTTTGCTATTAGTGGAATGTCCTGGAACCAATGCCCCAGAAACTGGCTTTTCTTTACTAATAGCAAGACTTAGGGCAACAAACTGCTGTTCCACTTTGAATCTGATAATTACATTCCTATATGTTAAGGACCTCCTCAGATAGCCAATTTCCCTCCTTTTACATACAACATGTTGGTAAAAAATCCAAACTTCCTGAAACACTCAAATAAATATTCTGTCCACAGTTCCATGTCTCCTCTTAACAGTGAATTCAAATTTTCAGTCTACTAAACAAATTTAGGACTTTTCAAAAGAGGCTTGTTAAAGTTACCATACGTATAGTGTTTTCAATCTTTCAAAACTCTTTAGAGGACACAACCCCGGAGTTAGATGCTATTAGCTTCACTTGCCAGAGATTAAGCAACCTGTACAATGGAAAACAGCCAGTGCAAGCTCCGTGGCCAGAAACCTTGTCTTTATAATCAATCTTTTATATCCCAATACAAAAGTACTTACTGTGTCAATGAAGTCCTCTAAACCCCCATGTCCATTAAATATAGGTTATACCGAAAGGATGAGAGTTTGCTTGCAAATTAACATGGGTAGTGCCTATCTCCCCGGTGACCCTTTTTGGGAACAAGTGACCTGATTAAGATTTTTCAAACCACGGTTTCAGATTAAAAGGGAAACCAGAATCTGAGATAAGGAAAAATAAGACTTGACAAACTTAAATCTTATTAGCTCCTAGAGATATAAATGCAACGAAATACACTTAGGAGATCCAGTGGCACGTGCGGCCTTATGGCGCTGCTGGAGGTACTCTGGCATGTACACCTGCCCTAGTCAATCAGCGAGCCTTACCAAATCACTTTGCCACCATCACCTTACCTTTGCAAACAAGCCAGGCCAAAAAGGTTCAACATTTACACCGGCTGCTTTAATGAGGGCATTGATCTTATCCTCCTACAACAAATAAAACGTCAATCCATCAAAACGTAGCGTATGGAACATCTCCAGAATGCTGTAAGTTAAAGGCAAGTCACTCAAAACCAGGGTACAGAGCATGTTTAACCAGCTCAGAGATTCTATCACAATCGAGAGATGTGTGCCAGGCGCCCCTCAATGAGGCGAGCCCATTACTGCCGTTTCAGGGGCTGGGAATTGCCTGAGTCACACGGCTATCTTAAAGTTACAAGACCCGGGAGGTGGCGCCGAGCTCCCGCGCTTTCCTCCAAGCCACACCGTCTCGCCCCGCAGGCCTGCTCGGACCAGAGGAATTCAAGGCAATGACACAGAAGGAGGTCCGAGTAAGTGTCCCTGAGTGAGACGAAGCGCGGGTCACGGTGCGCAAGCGCCGGGGAAAAGCTTTTCCGCAGGAAGGATCTTGGAGTCGGAGCGCCCAGCAGCAAGCACGCTCCGCTCCCGCCGGGCCCGCACGTGGTCCAGGGGGCCCAGGCCCCGCCCCGCGCGAAAGGCCCCCGCCCTGCGCCGCCGGAGTTCGCAGCCTGGCCCCGGCCAGAAGCGCTGGGCCGAACGGCCTGGAGCCGGGACCGCAAGGAGACCCGGGAGCCGCCGCCCACAGGCACCCTGGCCGCCGGCCCGCGCCCGCACTCACCGTGACGGTCACCTCATCGTCGTGCAGAATGAGGGCCGAGTAGATGCAGGCGAGCTCGGAGACGGAGGCCATGATGCGGGTGAGTGTGGGGCTAGCGCTGCCGGACGCGGTGCTAGTCGCCGGATGAAGTGAGGGCCTCACCCCAACGCGGCCTTAGCTTCCTCGGAAGGACCGAGCACCTTGGCGGCAGCTGAGGAAAGGGGTAAGGGAGTCCGCGCAGTCCCTTTATGTGACCACGCGGACCAATCGGCGCCCGCAGCGGGCGGAAGAGGCGGGCCCAGGACGGACTGAAGGCGCCTGCGCGCCGCGCCGGATACGCACTTCCTGTTGAGAACGTTTCTCAGCGCCTGCGAGTACGGTCTCTCTTTATGAGGGCAAATTGTGGGACTTGAGAACGTTGAAAACGCTTTTAGGATAGGGTTGCCTAGCATTCGGACTTCGTTCTCGTTGGTTCCATGGGCTGCTCGGCTTGGCAGGAGCTCCGCTGTGGCCCTGATGACATTGTTCGTAATCTCCTAGTTAGGTCGCGGCCTTCCCAGCCGGCGCTGACCCTGAGGGTAAGGGCCGCGTTATATCTTGGAGGCCCCTGCTTAGTGCAGGGTAAGATAGGAGGACGGGAGAAACTAACAGCGTTATGAGATCAGTACCCGTGGGGCGCTTACTATGTCCCAGGCACTGAGCCACATTCTGCAGGGATTCACGTAGTCCTCACATGGCAGCAGTTGGATGTCATCTCCATCTTGCAGACGGCAAAACTAAGTCTTAGAGCTGGTAACTAGCCCAAGATTGTGTACTTATCGCGTGCTGGAGCGTGGAGTCGGAATCAGGAAGCTTAACTTCACTGCCTCGTGCTTGGGGTGGGAATTGGTTTGTGGGTATATGGGTAAATTGTCTACAACCTGTTATTATCTGAACCTAGCTTAAATTCGTACCTTCAAAACTGGTCATCTTTGCATTCCTCGTGGAATTTGCTTAGTTTACCGAAAAGCTAGTTCAATGTATTTTGTTTTCGGGAACCTTCTTTATTTATTAGCCCATGCCATTATTTCATAATCATCTCTTTCAAAGAAAAAAAAGTTTCAAAGAAAGTTTTCAATTGGAATCCACCAATCTGGAGTCCCACTTGGGTCGATCTTAACTACAAACATAAATATTTTAATATCCCGATTTTAAAACTTTTATAAAGCTATCGAACTTTTTTTTTTTTTTTTTTTTTTGAGACGGAGTTTCGCTCTT